AAATTTGATAAAATATATTGGGACTGCATACATCGGCAAAGGCGAGGTGAAGAAGTGTACTTGGGTGATTTAGTAAGTTATATAGACAGTGTGAACATTTGTGTACAGTTTAATTCCAATTTATAACAATAAAGCTGGGCTTGTTAAAACCTACAACTGTGTCATAAGTCCGAGCGTCCGCTGCATCACCGTGAGTCCGGCCGTTACACTAACCTGAGTGTACAGACGGCGTGTTCTATCGGCTGGAGCTACCCTGAGCAACCATCTCTCGTGGACACAAGAGGTCCACTGGCGCCCAACAAATAACCAAGAACAAATTAAAAGGGAGATCGGTTACAATATGTATACAGAAACTGGTGAGATTGAGTCAGTGCAGTATAGACGAACTTCAATCCCAGGCAAGTTGTCAGCTGTACAAGCCACCCCTTCACTACTCTGTACCCATGTGTGCATTACTGTGAGGGATGCTGTAGACAACTGGAGGGAGGAGCTAAAGGCTAATAATTTGTATATAACGAGGCCATGTTAGGGGTCCCGCGGGAACTTTATTCTGTTTCAGGTGATTCACGGGCAACCTGCGTCCAGCTCCTACCGACTCATTGCCTCCAGCATCCACGACAACGAGATTGTACTCAGCAATAAAGTACTCTTCGTTACAAGTACTCAAGCTGTTTCTCTTGGCTTTTTATACCAAACTTCCCAGCAATGCAAGAATTACACGCACCGCCAACCTGTGGCAAATCCGCTTTGGCCACCCGTGTTTTTGCCCCGAGGCAAGCTCGGAAACGCGAGCCTTGGGATAAGGAATACAACAGTACAGGCAACTCTCGGTTTACGAACGAGTTCCGTTTCAAGACCTTGTTCGTTATGTGTATCTTGCATTCCTGAGCTTTTACAATACGTATCGTATACGTTAGCAGCCATTTTAAAGCATTAAAGCCATGTACTAATTATCATGTAATAATTATCTGATAATTATTGTAAAAATACATTTTTTTAGAAGTTTATTTATTTAAATCTTACAATTATGTTCACTATACGTTTGGAATTTTGTTTTGTAAGGAACTCTATGTATTGGGGACTTTAAGAAATTTTGAATGAATTGTGACGTTCGTTATAGCGAATGTTCGTAAGCCAAGAGATGCCTTTATTTCATTCTTGGGTTATATTTCGGTATTTGTTCATATGCCTGTTAACTGTATTCGTCTTTCTACACGTATACCTGTATACTGTTGTGTAATTCATAATCTGTATAGCTCATAGTTGGTGGCTCTGTCACCATGTTACAGAAACTTGTTTATCCTGCCTGAACGGACGGTAGGAGTGAGTGTGAGTTGATTTGGAAACTGTAATTTTCTCCAGTCGTTCCAGACAATTAAGAGATATTCGCTTAAAATAGGTCACAGCCGTCTCCTTTCAAATCATAACCTGCTTACATTTTGTTGTTTCATGATCTACATACTTCAGACATACGTCTTGTATGTCCGTCCGTTCGAAAATTAAAAAGATAAAACTCCCGAATCGATCTTACCTTTCAATTTCGGTTTAGTTTCATACTTTTTAAGGTACTGCTGTGCCTAAGGGCGTTGATAACATTTACGTGCGTCCTCTAATCAGTTTGATATACATAATCTTTATAAGATTTAAAATGTGAAGGCCCAAATTTAATTTCCTTTAACTGGATTTAATTAGCACATCATTTTACACTTCTAAATACACGTTTTGAAGCCTTTAATAGTATTTCATCACCCTGATTTGCAGCACATCTGTTATAACAGTATTGTCAAGTGATGTTTCCTTTAGTCTAAATGTCCACATTAGACTTACTCGAGAAGCAGACGAATGGGTTTGTTCAGCCCTTGATTTAATGTACACGTTTCTGTTTGTCTAGCGAAATTAAGCTGATAGACGAATATCCTGAAAAATAATGTAAGGTCTCTCATTGCACATATCCTACGTTTTATTCAGACCATAGCCATTGTCTACAGGGTAGTCAGAAGTATGTTTACAAACTTCGTGTGCGTGTTCCAGGATCAAAAGTAAGTATTCCTATGAACATGGGATCGCAAATGTTTCATTTTCGAAATAATTGCTAAAAATAATTTTCAATGTATGTCTTTATATCAAAGTGACTCTAGCATCCAGCAAAGATGTTGAATTAACGTTTGGGCAGAAATTGTTGGCGACATGCTTATTGGTCCACACATGCTTCCATCGCGTCTAAGAGGACCTTCAAATCGGCAATTCTTAAGAAGACACTTGCCACGTCTCTTTGAAGATGTACCACTGAATACAAGAAGACAAATGTGGTTTATGCACGACGAACGAACCCGTCAGTCTTGTGTACGTCGTGCTTGGGCACGTGTGGAGAATGGAGGACCAACCTTTGAGCATGTTATGACATCCCTGTCCTCATACTTAGTAATAAAGGCATACATTGAAACTTACTTTTTGACTATTATTTTGGAAAAGAAGCCTTTGCGACCGCGTGTTCATAGGAACACTTTTTCTTACTTTTGATCCAGGAACACGCACACAAAGTTTGTAAACATACTTTTGACTCACTCTGTATAATACTAGCTATGACGAATTTCATTCAGTATAGTTTTTATTGTGACGCTGACATTCACTCAGATGGTTATATAACATGCTGGTTTAGTCTTCACAAAACCTCGCTTTAGTTCTCAGCCTGAGCCCTATTAACCCACTTCAAAACCTCACGCCCTCTTTATCAAACCATTCTAATATTTTTCTGTCTACGTCGAGGTCCTCCAAGTGGAATCTTCCTTCAGGTCTTCCAATTCAAATCCCTCACAAATTTTCCACCTTCACAATACGTGCTGCATGCCGTACCAACCTCATAGTCCTTGTCTTGTTTCTCTGATATTTGGTGAAGTGCGTGGTTTGGCAGTTTGAAATTTGGTAGTGCTGGTTGTAGTTAATGGTACAGCGGCCCCCTGGCGTCACTCTTGCGCTGCGATAGGGCAGCGAGTGAAGCGGGTAGCTTGAACAGCAGGAACGTTGACTGCCAACCTCGCGCAACCTCATACAAATGAAGTAAAACAAATTCTTTGCGAACGCGTGCGGTGGCGGGGAGTTAAGCGATCTCATCGTACCAACCCGCGATAAATTACAGTTTATGGCGGAGATAAAATAAGCTTATTTTCTTGAATGTACGACATCCGTTCTGGCTATCTGCAAGATGCGGCCATCCATTCTGCTCTTTACACTCATAAAGATGATGAAGTGGTCCCAGGTCCTGCTAGAAAGCGGGTGAGGGGGCGCATAAGAAGCGCCTTCCAGCATAACGTGAAGAAGAAGTAAGGAGAGGGAGAACAGTTCCTCCAACACATGAAGAAGAAAATGCTATTGAGTAGAGAAGGCAAAGAGAGATGGGACCACGGCCAGAGATATCAAGAAGGAAAGTCTGGACGTGATAAGGAGGGAGGGAGGGAGAGAGAGAGGGAGAATGAATGCAATACAATATCAAGGCACGGGGAGTCTCCTTGTGGAGACTAAGAGGAGACACCCTGATGAGAAGGATAAAGGTCAAATGGATGGCATGCGAACAGAATACATCGTTCTGTCCTTTCAGGGACGCAAAATTTGCGCATTGAATACGAAGCTATTCGGAGCCTAAAGATGAAAGGAAGACAGAGCACGACTGTATATGCTGATATATTTATTTATAATGTTAAACAAGTAGGTGTGGTGGCAGCGAATGTGAAAGCGCACAGGTTCTGACCTTTGATGCATGATACTGAAATGGGAGGAAAGTCTTCTGAAAAAAAAAAATTAAAGGATCTATTGTTCTTCGTTTACCATGCGTAAGAGAAGGCATTGCATTGATGCAATGTTCCTTGCACAGGTTTGCCGCGGTCTTAAATGCTGTCATTCCCTTCTGGAAGCTGTCGGTCTTCGAATCCCTGCTCGAAATCTGAGAGGTTTTTCTATGTTCAGTTTTAGCCCTTTGATCGAAAACAGTCCTGCTAGATGCGCATCAGCTGCTAATGTCGTCTACAGGGACTTGGACATATTCGAGACGAAAATTGTCACACTTCTTCACATTCTCTAATAGTCTAATTTCCTTAATTTATTTAAATTATTATTGCAAATGCACTAATGTATTTAGTAGCAATTTTCATGTGTATTTGCGTCCTCCGTACTAATGCATTTTTATATTCTGCTTGTTTTACCTTTTATGTTTTTATTGTGTTCGTGTGCTCATCTCTTGTTCTGTATCTATAATTGGCCTTCTGGCTGTTGATACAGCACCCTAATAATAACAAATAATTAAGAAGAATTAAATTAAGATTAAGAATTACTGCTTCTAGCCGGAATTTGTAATCACCCAAGATTTCAGGCCTTCACATTCCGTAGCCTACCGTCACTCGATATCAGAAGTTTTTATTCGAGTCGCATAACTGTAAGTCTATACTTAGATAAGCAATGCCCAGGTGATTTCTCCACATTGAACACACTCAGGAAGACACGTGCACGGCCGAAGACTAGGTGAGATCTGAGGTTCTCAAGACGACGAGTTTCCCCTATGACAGCCAGCTTCAACTTGAAGTTTATTTAAAATAGGGCCTAATATTAAAATATCCTGTAA